TGGCCCTGAGTTGGCAAGAAATAGGAGTCCCACAATGTCTGGCAGTGATTGACCGCACATTAAACTGGAACGCGAGAAGCTCGTTGGGATAAATGAGTTAGACAGTAATCTCGGGTGTTATTTTATTCATACGTTCCTATAAACGAATATTGTTCTTAAGAGCCCAACTATTTCAATAGAAAATAATAAACATAGTTGGCAGCTAACACATATACAAGTACATATATACTTAACTCTGTTTGAAAATTTTATTTTATTATCATCTCGGAAAGATAAACATTTAAAAAATTGAAGCAGCTTTTGAAATTGTAAAAAGAATAAAAGTTTTCGCAACGAATTTAGTTAAGATTATTTTAATTGTATGTGAATGGGACAGTTATGAAACTTTATAATATAAAACCCATAAAACTTCCAAAACAACTTTAAAAATTGGGAAGAGTTAGTTAATGGACTCTTTATACATAAATGGACCCACATACATACATATATCCAACTGTTAATCAAATAATTATAATTATTATATAAATTTAATGCACCTAGCATCATGAACCTAAAGTTATAGATTTCTTTAATAGTACAGATATAGACAGTACAGATTTCCAAGAACCATTACTTATTTAAAAAAAAAGCAAAACTATCGCATGGTTACATAATTTTGTAACAGGCTGTATTTTAATTGCAATATTTCCCAGAATAACTGCAATTATGTTGGATTTGATAAGAGACTTCAAAGTTACAAGAAGATACCAGGAAAAGTATTTATCGCTCTCCGCAGTTGTCGGACTAGAAGTAACATTTAAATGTGGGCGTCAACTAATTCAACTCAACCCATCTCGTAATAATTCGAAAAGGTTGACTCATAAAATAGAAAATATTATTGAACAACTGTTAAGAACTTTAAATCATGACGTCAAAATTCACGTTCTCCCCGTAATCAATCAAAAACAGAGACACCGTTTAAGAGCTACGTGCATTTCGTGTTTTTTTTATTAAAAACATGGGAATTCCAAGAGTTTGCGATAGAACAGGTTTTCTGTTTATTGTGGCTAGAGAGATCATTAGCTGTTGGGTTTCACGACGCTCTTGATGTGTTGAAACTTAAACCACAAAAAAATGATCGTGATTAAAGGGCTTAAAGTTTTAGACTCGGAGTATATATACAATAGAAAATAAATTAAATAAAAAGTAAATACATATATTATTATTGTGAAAGTTCAATAAACTTGGGCGCAATCGACACTTTCTGCAATTTTTAAATCGATGTTCTTTATGGTTTTTGATAAGATTGATTTATTGAACTTTTAAAACGATATTTTTTTGATTAGGTTTCGTGAATTTTACCCTTAAACACTCCAAGATAAGCATATGAAAAAAAAAAAAACGGACAGGCATGTCTCAATTGATTTTTATACTCTGTACATGAAATGTACAAGAGTATATTAGGTTTGCGGGAGCTGAAAAATGTAACAGGCAGAAGGAGGCGTGGCAGACCCCACAAAGTATATATATTCTTGATCAGCATGACGAGACGAGTCGATCTAGCCCTGTCTGTCTGTCTGTCCGTCTGTCCGTCTGTCCGTCCGTATGAACACCTGGATCTCAGAGACTATAAGAGATAGAGACACCAAATTTTGCACGAAGATGCGTTATGTGTGTATTCTATACGAGTTTGTTTTATTTTTTTGATTTTCCCCCCCACTTCCCCCCTATGGGGGTTTTCCCGATTTTCCATTCGTATAATCGCCTATATCTCGGAGACTATAAGACCTAGGAACACCAAATTTTAGTCCCAGATGCCTTATGTGAATACGCAGAAAATGTATATTTTGGAATTCCCCTCCCTCCCCCCTCTACCCCGCAAATCGTAACTCCCGTAATTCTTGGAATTTCGAACTAAAATTTTGGAAATACCCCCAGTTAGTTATTATATGTCCGTATGCCAAATTTCATTATGATAGACCGATTTAACAAGAAGTTATAGCCATAAATATATTTGCTGATGCAGCGCTGCTGCAGCGCTGCTCAAGCGCTGCCCGCGGCTGTTGTTGATGTTGCTGTTTGGTTGACTGCGAAAATGCTTACACAGACACGAATTGATGCGCATAGGCATACATACACTCACACAGACGCAATTGCTATGTAAATGTGAAATTATACACCCTTTACGTGAGTTCGAATACCGAGAGAGGTAAAATCGATCAAATTTTTTTTTTTATTTTCTTAATTTTTTTTATTTTCTATAATTATTGTAAACATATGTACAGAGTATTTCAAAGTCGGGACACCCGACTTTAGCTTTTTTACTTGTTTTTTCAATAGAATAATATCGGATTATGGATCTAATGTAAATTTTTACGTCGATATCAAAATGCTCATGGGTATATTTAAAGAAATTCGAGAGGAAAACCAATACTAATACTACAGTAATTTTATATACCTCAATACAACATAATCTTTTGAGTTGGAACATTTGTTAGTTCGAACAACACGTTAATTCGGAAAAATATTTCATTTTCAATGTAGACTATGTAAATGGAACTCCTCTCTTTTTTTTAGAAACCTTAGAAATAATTCAATGATTTTTTTATGTAATCTGAATCAAAATCTGCTGATTTATTTCATAACTTTACAAATATAGAGAACATTTAAAGGATGAGTAAATTATTGAATGAAGTTCTATTTAGGAATATCTATGTTTTTGTAATCCAGAATGATTGTCTTTGCTATCAAGGTTATTCTGTAATAGTAATGTTTTATGGAAGAAGTAGCTTAAATTGGTGAAATATATTTTTATAAAGAATGCTCACGTACATGAAAATATAGTAATCCATGTGAATACATTGAATTGTCTCTTCTAACGAAGGTAACTAACCAATTTCTCATTTTGTTCGGCCGCATTCTATTGTTTTTGTTTGTTCCCATCTCTCGCCAGCGCCCAACTTTCGTTTTATCTTTATGGCCACTTAAAGTGCGAGCCGCACACACAAAATATAAAAGTGACATGGGCAGGTATTTAGTTTGGCTGCAATAGCCCAAAAATTAAAAAAGAGCAACAAAAACTTTGAGCCCGCACATAAAACAACTAAATTGTAATGTGGCATCGTTTTTTTTTTTTTTTTTTTTTTTTTTTTTGTGATGTAGTTAAGCAAAGCTCATCATTTTATATGTCTTGGGGAGGTGTTCATGATTTATTTTTACGAGCTGTGAACACAGAGCACATCGAACATAAAATTGGCCAAAAAGCCGTCGCCGTTGCATAGAGGAAAAAAATATATACGAGTATGTACTATATGTACATGCATACACATATACATAAAAAGGCCGCGACCAGCTGATGGCTGTCAGCGCAGACAGCTGAATGCCAAATGCATGACACGACGCCGCTGAACGGACCGATAGTTAGGCGACTAACTATATGGCTAATCTGGTCGGCTCGGCCAAATGTGTTTCTCACGCTTTAGCCGAAACAGACAAAAAACCACTTGTTTTGAGTTTTTTGCGAAAACAAGCCAAAGCGATGATGACGGCGAGGCGATTGTTGTTGTTGGTAAAAGTAGTGGGACGGAGACCGGTGCTGGGGATATACTTGTAGCACACACAAAAATCATGACAACGCCTGGGCAATAATCGCAGTTTTGCACGAGAGAACAAGCGAACGAACGAAAGAAAGAACATTTTAAAGCGAATAATAGAAAAGCGTACGGGGTCTGGCTGATGAGTAATCGATCTAAGCATGTAAGAAAAAATAAATTTGTTTCTCAATATAATTTACTTTGGAAGCTACACATTTTTATCATATTTCACCCATATTTTAATGAATTTGATTTTCTCTTCAACCAAACGATTACTTTAAGATTAAAAAATAATAATCGTCACGGGGTGGATGGGGAAGCAATTCCATAGGTTTTCCATGGCGACTTGCCTCTTGAATCGAATTTTTTGTCTAGCCAAACGCAATTGTCTTCGGTTTAAGTCCCCATCCAATCAATCCAATAGCTATGCATAACATTTCTCTTTTATTGTTAAGTCATTTTCAAGGTAAATTTCCAAGAAGCAGTCGTCATTAGCTCGTTTACTGGTCCCATCTTAAATTTCTTTCGACTAGAGTTCACTGTTCCGACGAATCTTTGCCACGGGCGCGGCACCCAAATGGCCGATGATGGGAATCAGCTTTGTCATAAGCAAATACAATCTGACCGTTCCTTTTCCAAAAAGTTCGTGCGTCCTCGCTTTTACTCAGTTATTCAATATTTAACGGTTGATTTCTTAAATTTATTTAAAATCTCATTAATAGAAATTATAGATAGTGATAATTAGAAAATTCCTATGTTATATATTTAGTTATTAGCCAACCCTCGTACATTGAAAAATTGATGAATGAAGTAATAATTGCCACAATACGCTCCACTGTGCAAAATTGGGTGGTGGCGCTGCTTCTGCTTCTGCTGCCGACGTTGCCGTCGCTGCGCTCAGTTAGCAATTGAGTCAGCGGCCCACAACCATAAAAAAAAAGTTGTCGCTCTCGTGCACGCTCTCTCAACCAGCAAAAAAAATTAAAAGAAAGAAAGAAAAACACCCCCGCCACAATTTTGCTTTTCCGGTGCACACAATGGGCTCTGGATGAGTCTGTGTGTGTGTGTGTGTGTATGTTTGTGAGTGTGCGTGTGTTGTTGGGTGGTGGTGGTTGTTGTTGCCCTGTCGTTGCTGTTGTTGTGCGAATAGTTCCGCTTGCGGCAAATACCGGTACTTTTGGAGCTTGTCTTATTGCCGCCTCTCATTCATTCTCTCACATTTTATTCTCTCCCGCCCCATTCATTCATGCGCACACAACGCACACTTGCGTGTTCTTCTCTTTGGCTACTTATTCGTGCTCACAGCGCACGCCCGTCGCTGCTTAGCTCTTTGCAGCGCTGACGTCGACAGAGGCAGCGACGTACCGGCTGACTCTGGGCAGCTTGTGCGGCGGCTGGCAAAAATGTCTCGATTCAGTCTTCACTGAGATCAGCTGCTGGCTGGATTGTTTGTTCAAACTTTGCAAACCCGTTACGTGTACATACATACATACAACTCTCCTCTAACTGTGTTTGTGCACTCACACGCAATTCGTCGTATCTATTTGTATTGTATTCGTGCGTTTAAGTGTAGTAGTGTTGTTTAGCCTGTGTGTGTGCGCTTAACTTAAAGCTGACGTCGTCACCACCGTCACACTATAGTCAAACGTACCCGAAATAAAAACAAAAGCAACCAGCAGTAACAAAATTAACAAAACAGGCAATCAAAATTATTGCAAATATATTTCAGTTATTATATATATGTTTGTATGTATGTAACAAAAATAAAAGTGTAGTTGTGAAAAATTATACGTGCGGTTTTTTCGTTATTACTGTGCTTTGTGATTAAGTAGTGTGTGTGTTCTTGTGTGTGTGTGTATGTGAAACACAAAAGCGACAGCAGCGTCACATAAAAAATATAAATAGCAATAGAAAGTTATTAAAGCGTTTGCAAAAAAATAGCAGCAACAACAGAGCCAGCGACAAGCAAGCTAGCAAGCAATAACAAAAAAATATTTTTTATACACAAAAAAATATATTTAAAGCTCACGTTGCGCTCTCAGTCGCCGCCACAGTCACGCTCTCTTACGTCGTCGTCGTCGTCGGTGCGCTCTTGAAACGTCGCAAAAGTTTGTAAACATCAAAAGCTTGTGTCGCTCTATACGTGTGTGTTTGAGTGTGCAGAGAAAGAGATTAGAAATAGAAAAGTGAAGAACCAGCCGGAGTCGCAGCCGCCGCAATCAACGTTAACGTCAACGTCGCCTTCAGCATAACAGCGGCAGCTGTCAAACATAAAACAAAGTAAATAAAAGCATTTAATACCAAATATTTTATTTACTTTTTTTCAAATTGGTTGCGGCAGTACAGTTTATAACAATACAATTATAACAGCCTGCTCTTAATACATAATTGTCATATATGTACGTATGTATGTATGTGCAAATGAATGCACGCTCTTTAGCTCAACTGCCTTTCTACGCTCTTTCTGCTACGCCCGCTTCTCGCCTACGCATTCCAAACACCCCTCAACCCCTATCCATACATATATAGTACATATGTATGTATGTATGTATGTACATATGTACGTTTACCGGCAGTGTTGCCATCAAATCGGTGGCCATAAAGTTCAATGTCTGTTTGCTTTCAATAGCAAGCGCCACAAGAAAACAACAACATAAAATTGTGCCGAATTTCGTTAAAATAAAATTTATTTTGATTTTTGTTTTCTGTTTTTGCTCTTTTGCGAGAAATTAAATGAGCCGAACCAGTCAACGTCTGCATATTTGCGTTTTGTTAGCGAGAGTGTATGTTTGTGTGTGTGTGTGTGTGAAAAGTTTTTGCATGTTGAACCGTTTTTATTTTAGCAAAATTTTTGCATTTCAACGATGACAGCTTTTGCTATTCTTGTTGTTGTTGTGGCTGTGGCTTTGGCGAAATTTACCAGTTCGCATCGCCTGCCTAACTGGCCACAAAACAAAAATGCCAAGCGTCAAATGCAAAGGTACAAAAGTTTATTACTCATGCGTTGTTGTTATTGCTGTTTTTGTTCATTCTATTTAAAGCTGAGAAATCACAATAACCACAACTTTAAATAAGAGAAATTGTGAACGGGTTCAGCGCACCATTTACTTTTTTGGATTTTTACTTTTTATTTGACTCTATTTAGTTTATAACTTTAAAATATTATTATTTAAATTAAAGTAATAACGAATTTTTAAAGAATTTACTTTACAAAGCAACATATAATCATTCCAAAGGCAGTTCGTGATATGTACAGCTAACTATATTTAGCTGGCCAATAGCCTTAAAAGTTAGGTAAGGCGGCTAGTGTTTTATGTTGCCGGCTGATTTGAATAAGGTCTTTTCGTTAATGAATCATACATACATAGTCTAATCTTCATTGTGTGGTAAATAATAGCATAATAAGTTTACTCAACAAACTGTATTATCTTTGGTTTGATTTTTCCCTTTATTAAATAATAACGCATTCATTTTATTCAATACAATTTGTGCGACGTCACGTCCTCTATTTGCTTTTTCCCATACTTTGGCACTGTCTCTCATACGATTTCAAATTTGCTTCTAGGCTTACCAGTGGGTTAATCAACTTAACACAATTGAGGTTAGTAAATATTTGCACTACCGTTTAAATCTGAACAACTCCATATGCCAGTTGCCATAATCACCTATCACATCCGTTTAGTTTATTTATTCACGTACCTCGTTACCTCAGTTTGTAGAGAGGTACTTGGGTCTTGCCTATATAAATTAATATACAACTAAAGTTGAGGCTATCTATGTTTTATTGAGTTTTCGCGTGGCTTTTAGCCATTTTGCAATGCCTTCCAAAAAATATACACACTAAAAAAAACTTGCCATTTGTAGAAAGTCAGCTTCGAGTTGTTAGAAATATTATTCAAATTGAGCAACAGTCCAAATAAAAGAAACAAATACTTGAAAAGATACTTAACACATCCATTAGCATTACCAATTTTAATCGAATTTAGCAAAAATACAAAAAAAAAAAAAAAACAATCACTTGGAAAGATACTTAACACTTCAATTAGCATTACAAATTTTATTTAAAAAGAATTACAACCATATTCAGACAAACAAAGTTTTGTTTTTAAAGAAACCGTTTGGAGGGATTTGAGAAAATGCTTGGTAATATTTTAACCATGTAGGGTATCAAGTAACTTGTAATTACGGATATAAGGTGTTCTATGGTTCATGAACCTTTATCTTCTTATGAAGAAAAATAGTTTTCATTTACTTGTATGGATATATCTAAAACTGCATTCATGGTTTTTAGGTTTCCATCATCATAATCCATCCATATATTTATCAGAAACTGGCCAGACCGACTGTCCGGATGTTTTGGCTTTGCTATCGTTATAAATTATGCCATCGCATTATGTTTAACAATATCGTTTGCATGTGATTGCTTATCACGTGTCCATGTCATGGCTACGATTAGTCAGTCCAAGTGTTGTGCAGTGCTTGGTTTTTTTTTTTTTTTTTTTTTTTTGTGGCAAATGGCAATCGCAAGACTAATCGCGATGTGTGGTGTAGCAACTATATTTCCATAAAATTCGCATAGCCGATAAGCCAGAAAAAGACTCGCAACGAAGGCACATGCACAGAGTAAACTAAAGACCCCAACCGATCCACGACTTGGATAAATGACTGATAGACTGCCTGCACGTAAATATTCGTGCACTTGACGCCGACGCTCTGAAGTGCAAGGTTAAGCCTTTGATAATGCCTGCACCCGAAAAGAGGGCAACTTACTATTTAACGCTTAATTTTGTTTTGTGTCAACTTCGTCGCCGTCTTTGTCATGCACCCTTCTTGTTCGAAACGCAGACGTCTGTGCCCGCAGCCAAGGTGGACTTTTTGTTGTTCTTCTTTTTTTGCCCAATTTTGATTGCGCTCGAAACCAACCCCTAAAAACAAAAAACTAAATTGCTATACAGCTGAAGCTGCTCGAGAAACTTTCTCTTCGCCAAATTCGCCCTCATCGTGGGTGCCTGCACTCAGTCATTGCACCCTTGTGTGTGTTTGTAGTGCTCTCAGCGGCGACAGCGCCCACCTAGCCAGACACAATGTTCATTCCAAAAACCTGCCCATGCTACAGCACAATGGAGCAAATTAAATAAATTTGATGTTTAGGTGGAAGTAGAAATGGTTGGAAAAGCACTTTCAACGATTCTTGAGATGTTTTAAAATAAACTCCCAAATTTTTATGCTCTAGGAGCGCAAAATATTGCTGATCTGAGACAAACTAAAACAATTCAATGCACTGCTGAGTATTTGAAAATATTAGAAAATTCAGAACTTAAGCAATAATTCACTTCAAACTTCTCATCGACCCATCTAGACTGAGAAATCCTTAAAGGAATTTGTCTCTAGAAATACTTACTTCCACTACAAACAGTAAAATATTCTTTCATATTCTAGCCAGTAAATTTGATGTTTAATTGAAAGCCGAAATTTGTAGAACAGTGAACAACTCTTGAGATGTCTATTCTGTGAAGTGCTTAAGATAATTTTTATCTGGAAATACATAATTGTACAAGAAAAAGATGTTGAACGCGTGTAGGAAAAATATTCTTTCATATTTTAGCCAGAAGTAGAGTTGTTTTGAGGAACAACTTCAACGCATCAAATAATTGTAATAGCAGAAGTCCTTAGACATCTCTCAAAACTCGACATTTCTTAGAAATAAGCAATGATTGTTGGTGTCCTTTTTGTTCTACAAGTATAATGTTTGTTTGAATGTTATGTTTTTTGTTTCGCAGTTTATAAAAAATCGGAAATCGCCTTCAAAGAAATATGTAGTAGTCGTGTTTAAGGTTCCGTGAGGTAGTTAGTTGAACATAATTAATAATACATTTTAAGCGACCAACAAGACTATGTATAATAGAATGAACTCCTAAACTAGTAAAGCATTAACAAATAAACCGCCCTTCATTAATAGAATGCAATTAAACAAATGATTAGGAAATTGTATAATAATTTTACAAAACTTTTATTCAAGAACGGATATATATGTTTAATTATTACATGCAAATATTTTCTCTCAAATTTCGGATGCCACAACTTAAGTACGGTGGAATTTTATCAAGCATTGATCTCATTAAGCCCATAGTACAGTGGAGAAACGAACAACCCCTCGAGTGTTGTTACTGCTGCTGCTGCTGCTGAGCCTTGGCGCCTGCCTTTGTTTTATTTCTGTAACAAAGTAAAAGTTGTAAAAAACGAGCACAAAGAGTAGGAACTGTCATACACCCCGCACCACACCCCGCACCACACCCCCAACAACCAGCCACCAGCCAGCAGCCATGCACCCGCCCTCCCAAGTCGGTCTCACCTTAAAGCGCTCTTGCTTGGCGCCTGTTTCATTTCAGCTGCTCTTACTGGTTTTATTTTTGCTTGGCTCATCTTTTTAACGTTGGTTTTTATTTTACGTGCCGGTCTTCTTTTTTTTATGGTTTGTTAGCAATTTTGGATTTACATATTTAGGAGGTGTGCGTCGCCACCTGCCGCACTGCTGCGGGCCTCAAGTGCTTGGCGTGCTACTGCTGCTGCTGCTGCTATTGCCACATGGAATGCTGCTTCTGGTTTCTTGGCAGTTGCTTTTGGTTTGGTTCGTGCCATTTCCTTAGCTCTGGTTGCACTTATCGCGAGGCAGCGACTTCCTGCCCCATGGCTTCTGGTCCTGCTGCTCCACAACAATTTGTTACTAAGTTTTGTTTGCTTACATTTTGGGGGTTGGTTACTTGCCAACCGACGTGCGTGTTGGAATATGTACTATATGTATACATTTGTGTGAATGTATGTTTGTATGCATGCATGTGTGTGCGTGTGTGTGTGTGTGCCATTTTTTGCGTTGGCGTGAACTTTTCTACGTGCTCAAAAATGCAAATCCAACAAAATAAAACGCAACGCGCTAAACAGAAAAAGCCAACAGCACAACAAAAATAAGCATAAAATGTAATAAAAATACACGCCAAGCAACAAAGACCACGATGACGATGACTACGACGACGTTGAGAAGGACAGCGCATTTTTCTTGCTATATTTTCCAGCAACACACAACAATATATAAAAGAAAAACAAACATCGGAAAGCACAAATGCTTCGTATGCGTGTGGATTTATGTTGTGCGTGTGTGTGTGTCTGCGATAAACATAAAAGGCACGCATTTTGCTGCACGTTTTTTCATTTTAGTACGACCACAACAGCAACAACAACAACAATTTCCCCTCTAAAACATTTTCGTTTTTCTGGATATTTTTTGGTTTTTAGCTTAATAAAATCGATAGCAAACTGATTATGCCTTGAGAATTTATCAAAAGCCGCCCAAGTCGTTTCCGCTGACATTGTTGTCTTTGTCGTCTACACCAACAGCCGCAATTCCCCAATGTTGTCGTCTTCGCCGCCAGACTCAGCATCAGCGCCCAACCCCAATTCCTACCCCTACCCCAGTCTCCGTCTCAGCCCCATCGCCGTCCTTGTCGTCGGCATCGACGTCGCCATGTTAACAAGGTTAAATGGAGCCCCACTTCGAGGTGTCTGCTTCCATTTGGCGATGTGTTCTATTTCTGTTCCCTTTTATCGGAATTCGGCAGTAACATAATATTTTATAGCTACATTAGTAAAATATCAGATGTAAGCTTGATTTGAAATAAATGCTGTCCAACTCGGCCGTAGTGACCGTTGCAATTTAAGAGCTATCCATTATTATCAGCCCATTCCAGTCATCAAAATCCAATTTCAAAGAAAAGTATCAAACTGAGATGACTATTGAGAAGGTGAATAGTATATACTCTACAATTGCGACAACTCAATCAAATGAGGTATAAAAGCATTTTGTAATTCTTGAATTCAGCTCTTATTATGATAAAAGCTACGCGTTTTTTAAATAAATAAATGAAAAAGATACAATAAGAACTGAACACCATTTTTAGTAAAATATTTAACACCTATTTGAATAAATAAATATTAAATTATTGCTGCTAGTATTTTAGAACAACTTTGTTTGTTTTAGGTCTTATCTACATAATTTTGAAAGTCTTTGTTGTCCTATCTATAGTATTATATAAGTATGTATACTCTATTTTTCTATCGTAGTTTAAATGCCCGCTTTTTCAATAAGACAGAAAATGAAAAATCAACCCTCTATAGTTTGTTTATCTCCACATTGAATGGCCAAGCTATTGTTATTTGTTACAGCCGCTTTTAAGAAACCTTTACGAATGCTTTGTTTTTTTAAGACAAATATGGTGAATTCCCAGAATTTGCGATTACTCAAACCACTCGAGCATTAAAAACAGCTGAAAATACACGACCACAAGTGTACGAGTATAAATAAAAGTTTGATAACACAAAAGCCACGGGACCCTATTAGTAGTTTTATGGCTGACATCAATTATTAGGGACTTTGCTATCAGTACAACAATTCAAAAAATATATGCACATACATACATACATACTTACTATATACTATAGTATATACAAAAAATTATGTCAACTTCAAAGCATTTGTCATAGCAAGAAACGAGTTTTTCGATTGGTGGTGGTGGTCGGTCGGCTGGCTATGAAGCGATCGAGTGACGA